AATTAAATTTATTCTTGAAAATTGCAAGCATATATTATTAAGGTCTTTGACAATAACAATTAACGTAAATAATGTAAAGCATAACCACATTTTTTTAATGACAAGACCAACTTTCATTTGTAAATTATAAACAAAAAACAAAATAAAAAAAATTGACCGATTTTTGCCAAAAAAGTTTGACCGCTTCAGACCTTCTCGGCCCGCCTCGAACTGCCTAAAACCGCCTCACAGGCCAAAATTCGATTTTTCAAACATTTGCACCAAAATCGTAAAGGGTTGGAACCGCATCCGTCTTAGAGAACGATTAATCGACCAACTCAGAGAACGATTAGTCGGTTGCCTCGGCTGCACTTTTGAACATTGAATAATATACTAATAGTAATGAATAACGTTGGACTTGATTGATTCTAATGGTTCTTTCAATCTTTCTTTTATCTCGTGTATGAAATGTTGGTGGAAATACCTACACGTAAGTGCACATATCGAACAAGTAATATAGTAGACAATTAAGTTCGGGTATCGATCCCACGAGAAATAATCAACTTTCTAATTATAAGCGCTAGATTATCCCAACTATGTTCAAGCTCACTCTACACAGTCGAATTTAGAGAAGATTAACTAAATTAAACTAAAATATAAAAAAAAAAAAAAAAGCAAGCAAAAATAAGTAAGCAAATAGCAAGAAGATTGATCAAATTAAACGAGCCTAGGATTTTATCTCCTTCATGTGATTATCGATCCCCATTCCCTTCAATTATGTAAGCAAATAATTGTGGTTACTAACTTGAGATGCTGATTCAATCATAACACACTTCCGCATGTATTACGATTCTATTATTGAAGACTAAATTATTGTATTCCTGCGCAATTCAATCAAGAAGAAAGCATTAAGTACAAATCTCAAAATTGACTACCTAATAGGTTAACTATATTCCTATGCTAACACCACAAATGCTGACTACCACAATTCTTATTGTTAAAACCGATCTTCCGATTCATGCATTCAATAATAACAATAAATCACATAAGTTGATCAAATTCATGCACTTAATAAATCAAGTAGAAGAAATAATAAAAAATTAATACTTGCATAAAATCATAAAAGTGAGTACACAAATCCAAAATAAGGTTCGAATAAATTCTTAAGAATAAAGAGTTTAACTACTCGTAATTCTTTATGATAAACAAAATAAAATTAATATGAAATTTTGCTTTCCATGTTTATTTTGGAATTAATTAGAGTCTTATTTTTGTAATATTGTTATTAAGACTTGGATTTATTTTCATGTATTATATTCTGGTTAGGTATCTTTTGTACTTCTCTAGAATAGAAGTAGAAATTGACTAGGATTTTATTACCTAGTTAAATCGATTTATTAGGGCCCAAGTTAGGTTTAGGGTGGTGATTTTGTGCCTATATAAGGCCCTCAACCTCATATGAGTCCTATGAATCTTTAATAAGATAAATCACAACATAAAGGCTTTGAAGGGTGCTGGGTGCAGCCCGTGCTGCAGCCCTGTTGGCACATCAGGTGTGGCAACGAGACGGATTTCTTCTACCAGGCTATAAAGATGATCAGCGTTTCGGGAGAAGTGCTTAAAAGATCTCTGGAGATGTCGATCCGCTGTTTGAATGGAGTTCAACATTGGAAGGAGTCCAAGAGTGCAGATGGAGGAATTGCTTTGATTATCAACAAGTTCGAATCGTGTGCAAGAACGGCGTATAACATAAAGAGGGAGTATTTAGTGTTTTTATTAAGTGCTATTAATGTACATTGTAAATCTGAACTAGTTTGCAAATCCACTACATTGTAAATCTGAACTAGTTTGCAAGTCCTCGTGGATGTAGGGTATGTTTGTATCCGAACCACGTTAAATTCTTGTGTTATTTATTCTTCTTTTAGTAGGTTAATTACTGTGACAACACAAGAATTCTGTAACAAATAATCTGTCTCAACAGAAAGACTGAATTTTCATAGACAGTTAAATCAACAATATTCTTGCTCAATCATATTTTTTGAAGCTTGACATAGTTCAGATTGTGCGGATGCTTCATTATTCGCTGGCAAAAACAATAGATGATGAGGCATCCATACAGTTCGCTACCAAAAGGTCTGCCATATATTAAGATTCCATTATATGTCAATGGTTGATAATATTGACACAATTTGAAGCAAAAAGGCATGCCGAGAAATTGAGATCTTCCATCATCAATAAAATTTGTTATAACATAATAAATTTTATTGATGACACAAATAATTAATATGTAACAGAGATAGTACAGTTTCCTCATTAAATTTGATTATTTATTTCTTATACCATATTTGATATCATATTTTAATGAGATTTTTGTGCATAAGTCCTTGACCAACCATCTTTGTCATTCTAGGTTTAAGGGTCGCCAATAAACTCATCTCTTTAATATTTTTATAAATAGGAGTCTTAAGATGTAGGTCTCTGGTGACGAAACTAAATATAACTAAGTGACAACCTCAACTAAACATTTGTTTCACATCATTTCTTAAATTCATTTCAAAAATGTCATTCCACTCATCTTTATTAATTTTTTTTCACTTTAGCATTTTTTACAGTATTATAAACAACTTATTGTTTCCTTATTTTTTATTGAAAATTATGAAAACAAATATTTTGGCTTTTTGTTAAATAATACTTAGATTTACAAAAAAAAATATGGTGTACTATGGTATACTATGTTGTATTATAGATTAAACATTTTTTTTGTAAAAAAAACTTTTTTTCTACATAATATTGAAAATTACAAAAACAACGTGTTTTCATTTTTTTTAATTCAACCTACAACTTTTTATTTTTTTATTTACTTTATTTTTTTTGCCATATTGTAGTAGACTATGATATACTACGGTGTACTATGGTCTACTATAGTGTACTACCAAAACCTAGCAATCGACACCTAATCTCGCAAATCCTAGCAGTAAACGCAACAGCCGCCAAATCCTAACAGCCAACATTCGTAGTCGTCGCACACGTAGTCACCTACCAACTTTGAAGAAAATTAGATTTACCATTTAGAACTCAAATCAAGCAAAATCTCTTGAACATCAATAAAATCATATTCAATTAGTAAAGAATATACTTTCAATCAAATCCCCACCATAACCACACCACACCACATCCCCCGTTGTTGCCTCGACCTCACAGCCCCTTGTCGCCGCCTCGACCACCACAGCCCCCATCCGCAGCCTCGTGCACCATAGCCCCTTGTCTCGTGCTACTACTGAAGAAAGCAAGAGATAGATATAGAGATAGAGAGGTGAGAGAGAGAAAAAAGAGAGAGAAAAGAAGAAGCAAAGACAATGTGTGAGAGAGATGGAGAGACAGAACGGGAGAGAATACCAAAAGAACAAAATAAATTTGAATTTGAGAACAGTGAATATGTAGGTTAGAGAATTTAGGGTATAGGGGCAGGATAGGGATATAAAAAAATTAGGGATGTGGCTCATATATTATTTCATACTAATTAAAGAATAAATTTGGACTTGTCACTTAGTTCAAATTAGGTTTCGTTTGAGGGACTCATAGCATATAATTACCCCTTATAAGTAAAGAAAAAATTAATGTATATGATAAAATTACCCCCAACCCTTTAAACTCAATTCCTAATTGTAATCCCAATTTAACTTCAATTTAATAAATTCTGACCACAAAAATCAAATTTTGACTTTTTTTAAAACTTTTTTTTTCTGAAATATTTTTTTTGCCGCAGGTTTCCAGCGTTGACCGGCGGCTAACGCCAGACTCCGGCGTTGACTTTTTTTTTTAGCCGCCGGTTTCTGGCTTTGACTTTTTTTCCCTAAAACTTTTATCCGTTTTTATACAACCGATGTTGAAATTTGACCGTCATTATACTGTCATCCACATTAATTATATTGTTGCTAATATTACATTTACGTAATTGTACTGCCAGCGACAGTACAGTTACTGTTAACCACAACAATATTATTATTTCTTTGGCATTTTTTTATTTTGTTTGATTTGTTGATAAGTCAACGTAATTATATTAATATCGTTGACGGTAAAATTACTGTAAACACAATAATATTATTGTCAATCAAATCAATATTAATTTTTTTTTGCTTTGTTGTTTTGTTTGATTTGTTGACGATTAATTTAATAATATTAATGTCTACTATTGTTATATTACTGTAAACACAATAATATTACTGTGGTTGCTGTAATATTATTGTTGTAACATTAATATTAGTGTTACAGTAATATTACTATGGACAGTTATATTACTGTCAACTACATCAATATTACTTCTTTTGATTTTATTTTTTTACTTTATTAAACAGTCAACTTATTAATATTACTCTATTACACAATAATAGTTATTTTTGTTGTGTTCATATTAATGTGATAGAGAGTAATATAGCAATATTATTGTGTTAAATTGTAGTATAGTTAATATTAATGTGTTACACAGTACTATAGTTAATATGACAGTCAGCCCCAACAATATTGATCTGTAAACGGGGCAAAAAGATATTCAAGTAAAAAATAATTCTAAAAACAATATTTGAAAAAGTCAACGCCGAAAATCGGCGGAAAAATCAGGAGAAAAAAAATATTGAAAAAATCAAAGCTAGAAAAATCAGGAGAAAAGAAAAAAAAAAAAGAAAAAAAAAAAGAAGTCAATGCCGGAGACTAGTGGAAAAATCATGACAAAAAAAAAAATTCAACGGCGGCGACGGGCGAATTGGTACTCAAAATTGAGTTTGTGTCAAAATTGAATAATTTGTGAAATTTGGGGTCAAATTGAAGTTCAATTAAATTAAATGATGAAATTGAAGCATATTAAAATGTAAAGGGGTATTTTAGTCTTTTATATAGACAATGTGTGGATTTTTTTGTAAAAACTTTTTTTGTTTGGACCAAAGTATAGGATGATGGGCGTATTTGTTATAGACTCTAATTTAAAAGTATTATTTTTTTTTTTGACAGCAAGAATAGCAATATTATTAGGCCACCATGGCCAAGTTTAGAGGCAACGAGAAATCCTCAGTACAAATAAAAGAGCCTTGAGTAGCTAGTCTATGAGCGAGAAGATTTCCGGAACGTTTAACAAATTGAAATACACAATGAGAAAATAAACGAGCAATAATTAAACCTTCTTCAACAAATGAGCCAAAAGAGTTGAGCGTGAGAATCCCGTCTTTAAACGTGTTGATCACCTCTAAGCAGTCTCCTTCAATAATGATTGAGCTCCAACCTTGGAGTTGGGCCATCCTTAGTGCATGAAGAACAACAAAGGCTTCACCATCCTCTACCCGTGGACGGCCTTCCAAACTTCGAATACCCCAACGCAAACAATTGCCTTCGCTATCTCGAGCCACAGCCGCTACTGTGTAGAAATTCTTCCCCGATGGAAATCCAACATCACAGTTAATTTTTATCGACCCAATAGGAGGCGCTTTCCATTGACTTTGGTGTGTAGCTTCGATTCTAGTTGCTGATGGAAGTAATGCCTGACAGAATGCGTGTAGGTAGTCCCGACTCCAATCCACCATCCGCTCTGACTTCAGCCCTGTCTCTCCATGCACCACTTTATTCCGTGTTTCCCACCCCTTCCACATAACCACCACAGCTAGTAAGAATAGCTCTTCGCGAAGTTTACTTTGTAGCTTTTCGATCCATTTCCAAACAGATGAGTAATCTTCCAGCTCTAGTCTAAATGGATCCGATTCCCAAACTTCCCTCATTCCACCACACTCAGTTAGAGCATGCATAATGGATTCCACGGGAGACCCACATCGAGGACACTCCGGCGAGTGAATAATTTTGCGTCTTCGTAGCTCCGCGTTTGTCGGAAGTATGCCCCAGCATGCATACCAAAGAAAAACCTTAATTTTCGGTGGGACTTTAACCTTCCAAATAAGTTGCCATCTCCAAGGATGAAGACCACTTGTCGACTCTATCCCACCTCGGCAATTACCATTCGAGTTTTGAGTCCCCTGCATAACGACATGGTAGCAAGACCGAACTGAAAATAGGCCATTCTTGGAATAGTGCCATACCCATCGGTCTTTAGCGTATACACTTCCAATAGGGACTTCCAAAATTCTATTTTGATCAATATCCCAAAAATGCTCCCGAATGAGCTCGACATTCCATGTATTTGTCAATGGATCTATCAGATCAGCAACTTTGTCTGGGAAGCTCGAATAAATGGGCCGTCTAGTAATAATCTGGAAATTACCATCATCTCGCAACCAAGGATCGGCCCAGATTGAAGTGTCCTTGCCATCTCCAATACGGCGACGAAGCCCTCTAATTAGGAACGGGCGAGCCTTGAGCATACTTTGCCATGTCGCCGACGGTCTTTTGCCTGCAACAGCTCTAAAAATATCTCCACTTGGAAAGTATCGAGCTCTGATAATACGTGAAAGAAGCAAATCCGGGGACGTCAACACTCTCCATAATTGTTTCGCCAGCAAAGCCAAATTAAACATCCTAAGGTCCCGGAAGCCCATACCACCATTCCGCTTGGATTCACACAAGTTGCGCCAAGAAATCCAATGGATTTTTCGCCTTGAGTCCTCGCCCCACCAAAACCTTGCGATAGCTGACTCGATTTCTTGTAGTAGCCCATTCGGAAGGACAAAGCAGCTCATTAAGTATGATGGGATTGCTTGTAGAACGGATTTGATTAGAATCTCCTTCCCCGCCCTAGATAGATGTTTCTCGCCCCATCCTTTAATTCTACTCCACACTCTATCTCGGAGGTGTAAAAAGATCTCTCTACGAGACCTTCCCAATGCCGCCGGCATGCCGAGATATTTGTCATGACTGTCCACAACATGAAATCCAAGAACACCGTGAATACGATCGATTATGTCCGGATCGGTCGTTGGGCTGAAACACATTGTCGTCTTTTCAAAGTTTATCTCCTGACCCGACACCAAAGCATATTGAGTCAGAATTTCCTTAAGTTTCGAAGCCTCGGATTCCGTGGCTTTGCAAAATAGAAGAGTATCGTCTGCAAAGCACAAATTGGAAATAATAGGTGCTGCTGGTGCAATTTTCACGCCACTAAGGTCATCTCTCTCCACTGCCCGCTGAATTAATGCAATAAGAACATCTGCACAACATATAAACAAATACGGGGACAAAGGGTCACCCTGCCGGAGACCCCTAGAGGGTGTGACAGCTCCAAACTGGGAACCATTAAACAAAAAGGAATAAGAGACGGTTGATAAACAAAGCATTATAAGATCAATAAAATCAGGCCAGAAACCAAGTCGGGTAAGGGTTTTCTTTAGAAATATCCATTCAATTCGATCGTAAGCTTTGCTAATATCAAGTTTAACCGCCATAAAGTTCGAGTTTTTGCTAGTGTTTGTTCGAATAAAATGATTAACCTCGAAAGCGACTAGAACATTATCTGTTATAAGGCGTTTCGACACAAAAGCAGATTGGGTTGGAGAGATGATACCAGGCAAAATTGGTTTCAAACGATTAGCTATACATTTGGACCCTATTTTATAGACCACATTACACAAACTTATGGGCCTATAATCAGTAATTTTCTCCGGGGATGATAGTTTGGGAATGAGCACAATATAGGTGAAATTAAGGGTCGATGGAAGAATTCGTTTATTAAGAAAATCAAGCACACATGCAATGACACTAGAGCCCAAAATGTGCCAGTACTTAGTAAAAAATAGAACAGGAAGGCCATCTGGGCCTGGAGATTTCAAAGGGGCCATATGAAAAAGAGCATGTGTTACCTCTTGAGTCGTGAAAGGAGACGAGAGAATCTGATTAGCCTCATCTGTCACTCTTGGAGTCACACAGTCTAAAACCCCATCTATCTCACTCTCCTCCGGTCTCGTCGAACGAAATATATGATCAAAGTATTCTGCTATAACCCCTTCAATGTCCTCTCCCCGAGTCTGCCAATTTCCATGTTTGTCCTTTAATTTATCTACCGTGTTTGCCCTCTTCCTCGCCGTCGCCTTAGCGTGAAAGAACTTAGTATTCCTGTCCCCTTCTCTCATCCACTGAATTCGACTCCGTTGCTTCCAGTATGCGTCGTTATCATTGTACAGATGCTCAAGTTTTTTACGGAGCTCCCTTAACTCCTTCTTAACTTCTGATGTTTGATTGCGCGAGTCAAGTAAATGGATACGTTGCTGGGTTTTGGCAATTTCTCTCTGAGGCATGCAACCCACCGAACGATTCCACTGAATGAGGGCCGTTCTACACGCTCTAGTGTTTTGGATAAGTTTCTCTATCGGATCAGTACCCTCACTATCCTCCCATGCACGTCTGACCACCTCCTCACACTCATCTTTGTTAATCCACATAGACTCAAATCTAAATGGTCTATGCTTTCTAAATCTAACACGCAAATCTTCCGGCTCGAGACACAAAAGAAGTGGTAAATGATCTGATCCTGCATAATTCAGATGAGTAACCTGTGCATGCGAAAATCGAGCCGTGTATTTATTTTAAAACCAGAAACAATATTCTATAATTCTATACAAATAGTGTACTTATTTTAAAACCAGAAACAATGTAATAAAATAGGAATATTTATCTCCTTTAATATAATTTGTATTATGGGTAAACATAGAATTAGGTGGTGTTTGCAAATGATTATTTAAAAGCAGAAGTTAGAGATTGTGATTTAAGTTAGTTTTAAGTGCTTATTTCTAAAAGTTGGGGGTGTTTGCAAATATTTCGGAAAATGAACTGAAATTGAAAAAGCAGGGTTATAGGTGCTTTTAAAGAAATAGCTTAAAACAGATTATTTTAAAAGAAGCAAAAGCAAAAGTTGATTTTGCAAACATCTAAAAACAGATTATGAGCAAAAAAAATCACATAATCACTTTCAAAAAGCATTTGCGTTACCACCTTAGAATAGAAAAAAACTTAAGTCTTGTAATTGTCAAATTAACTCTAGTAATTGTTAGGATGGCCGAGTGGTGTAAGGCGCCAGACTCAAGTTCTGGTCTTCGAGAGAGGGCGTGGGTTCAAATCCCACTTCCGAGGTGTACAAATACCAGCATTTGGTTGATATCGAAAAATATTACATTAGAAAACATGCAAATGTCGAGTAAATATACCAAAATTGACATTTGAAGGTCGAGTTCCATAATAGATATAAAATGTTCTAACAAACAACAAATCTAACACAAAATCATCGACTAGTAACCATAATCCCACAACTACGTGCTCGTGGATAATTCTAAATAATATTTTAACAAAAAGGAAAAGTGAAAAAGTTCGATTGTCACAAAACTCATTCGATTTTTCATCCTTTTAAAGGCATTTGGGCTTGGTCTTCGGTGTTGGATTGCGTTTGTGTTGGAGCACTCGTCGTCGTGAAGGATTGGGTCACGGTGGCAGCGGCGAACTCAGGCGGCGGTGTTTAAGGGGTTTTGGTCTTGCACTCCGAATATGTTTTCTTATTCCACTATTTCCTTTTTTTGGTTTTGGAAAATTAAACCTTGTTTTTTGGTTTTGAAAAAAAAAAAAAAGGTGATGGGTATATTAGTCATTTCATGATGTTTTTTGTGGTTTTTCTTTTAATTGGTCTTACATTTAGTGAAACGGGTATTTCGAATAGCCGCAGCCTATTTATAATTTTTTGAGTTAAATAATTTTACCTTCATTTTGAACCGTTTAAACTTGGAATATATTCGTCAATAAGGCTCTCCAGACCCTTTCCTCAATGGACTTGATGAATTCTCTCATCTTCACTTTCCAATAAGTCCATCGAGTACCTTAGGATGCATGGAGGCATATCATTGAATTGAGAATATGGTAAAATGACGAGTCAAATTATTAGATAATGAAAGATTTTTAAATTTCTTACAAAATTAAAAGAAATAAAAACAAGTAACTAATCATTTTCTAGCCAAAAGGTGAATGAGGGTGCAAATTGTAAATTACCCATAGTAGGGTTATATCTCTTTTAAAACTCACAAAACAAGTAACTAATCATTTTCTAGTCAAAAGGTGAATGAGGGTGCAAATTGTCAATTACCCATACTAGGGTTGGGATTGGGTTGGGTCGGTCGATTACCAACCTAAATCGACCCATCCGACAAACCAATTTTGCTCAAATTTGAAAACCGTTGCCGACCCATCCTTTGTGGGTCGGTTGATGGTTGACAACCGAATATTTGGTTACGGAATGGATCGGTTAATGAGTTCTACCACACCTAGTTCACTTTAAAAAAAATTCAAATTTTGGAGTAAAAATAGCACATTCTTCGTAATGTGCAAAATCATCATTTATCAGTTCAAAATAATTAATAGCAATTTGAAAAAAAATATAATTAAGAAATTCAACGTAACTATGAAAATACACTCTTTATTTTATAATTTGTAATAAAGATTTAATAATATAGTTGGTTGACCGATAATTAGTCAACCAACTGTTGATAATATTAGAAACCACCAACCGATCATTATAGACGTGTTGGTTGAAATTTTCGACCCAATCCAATGGGTCAGTCAAAAAACTGTAGTCGGTTAATGAATAAAAACCAATCCAATCCATGCATTAACCCATAGTATTCCATACAAATAGTATACTGTTTATTTTGAAACAAGAAACAATGTACCGTATAAAATTGGAATATTTATATCCTCTAATATAATTTGTATTATGGTAAAAGAGATGATTAGAATAAACCAGATCCTTAATATCTTGTCAGGATGGCCGAGTGGTCTAAGGCGCCAGACTCAAGTTCTGGTCTTCGAGAGAGGGCGTGGGTTCAAATCCCACTTCTGACACATAAATTTAACATACTTATAATTTTTAATTTTTAGTTTTAGAAATTATGAACATCATTAAAATTTAAATGATATTTGTAAAAAATATCGTGCTCATATTTTTGTAACCAACATCATGACTCAAATTATGGATACTAGTAACTCCACCCGTGCGCGCTGCACGAAATTGAAAAAATATAAGTCAAAAGTGACTCAAAATATGTAAACCAGTAACTTCACCCATGCGATGTACATGATTGAAAAAATATAATGCAAAAGTGACATCAATATACTAAAAAAAATCATCACGCTTCAAAAGACATATAAAAGTTTTATGTAAACATCGTGTTTTAATTGGTAACCTCTCTCGTGGAATGCACGACATATATATTTTTTATTAGTTATTAAATATATGCATGCATACGATAAATTATAAACATTAGAAATGAGGAAAAAATTATGTGCATGCATATGATAAATTGAACACATCACACAAGGGAAAAATTAACACTCAATTCCTAAACATCAAGAGAAAAGGGGAACCACAAATTTCTGGTAGAGGGAATGTTGTAATCAAATTTCCCAACTGTCAAGTACAGAAAACGAAAATCTAATTTAATAGAAAATTAAATTATAGAAATCTTGGAGAGAGAGAAAAAAAATATATTGAGAGAAGTGCAATCCGAGCATAAGTTACTTGCAAATTAAATAGCTTCACTAACTACAGTCACTGCAGAAAATCACAATATACAAATAACTATATCTATGTTTACATGTGTACGAACTTAGAAAATAAGAAAAAAGTACCACCGCCATCACAAGAGAGCAGCAAAGCACCAAACATGTTCGTAGAATATTGTAATTGCTTAATCAAATTAATCCCCTTCAATAGCGACAAAGTAAGTGAATTTAAAAAAAATATAAAATGGACGTACAGTTAAGTATACGGTGGCATAGAAAGACGGATTCCCAACTGACTGCAACGACATCAAACAACATAGAGAAAAAATCAAATCCAATATAAGATGGAAAAAAACGCTCCATATCGGTTTCATTTCGTTGTTGTTGCTTTAAGCAAATTTGTTTTTAGAATATTTATGTATGGGTTACTTGTATTTTTGGCTTGTTGATTTTTGACTATATGATACTTAACTTAGGGGTTTAGAGAAGCTACTAAAAATTATGTTCGGCAATGTTCTTTTTTCTTTTTTTTTTTTTTTTTTTTTTTTTTTTTGTACTTATTCTCTATTTTCTCTGCTATTACTACAAGAAAAAGTCATTTTAACAACACACGATGCATGTTGTCTAACCATTTCGACAAGGTACAGACGCACGTGGTGGACCAACATGTTGTTAAAAATGACGGGATAATAACAACGTACGATGTAAGTGGTGAACTGCATTTCAACAAGATGCACCATATTTTGCGCTACAGCATTTACAAAATTCGCACGCACGTTGTGGCTTGTACGTATTACCACCACACACCTGTGGATCTTGTAACAGAGTTTTAACATCATTATATGCATGTTGTAGTTTTTACTTATTTTCACAAAAAAAAAAAAGAAAAAAAAATTATTTGAAATACAATAATTTAAATAATAATTATCCATAAAAAATAGAAAAATATCATTTCATTAAAATAATTATACATTATAATAAATTCTACATCATTCTCAACAGTAATAAACTCATCTACACTAGTGTCAAGCCTTCCTCAACCGAAAAAAAAATCAAAGAACAAGAAAACAAACGTACATTTTGTTTGATTAAGAGCCCTTGTAAAGGACATTGATGCCAACCTCTCTATCTAACACATGACATCTATGCCAACCTCCATGTCATGAATAAAAATCTTTGGATGTTTTGCTAACTTGTTCTACACCCTAGTACTGCAAGAAAAAAATAAAATTAATAAGTAAAGGAATTCACAAACAAGAGAGAGAGACAAAGAGAAGTTCTTACCTTGTGTTTTCGCCTAGCTGCAACACTTAGACCATAAGCAATGATGTAAGAGATGGTCTATCTGTTCACACTTGGATATACAATTTCATAATTAAATGATTATAAGATTTTTAGATTGATGAGCAAACTTATGTTTGATGAAGATCAAAAGTTTATGTACTATAATACTTACCCCATTGCTATAACTGAAGTAGTAATTTTCGAATTCGGCATCAACTCTACTAACAAAACCAGAATCTCATAAGCCATATACTCAAGACTGATTAAACTACGAAATTGTCGATTATGAGGAAAAAAAATCTACTAAAATGAAATAAACACTGGTGCATGCTTCCTCATTCCTCCTTTAATTTCTACTGCGTCACAACTTCAGATTGTAAATTTACAGTGGTTCCACTTTTTGTGCTGCATAATATGTAAAAAGAACTGAACGAGCTAATAGTTTCAGATTTGACAACATCTATTAGTTTAGTTGGCTAATTCTCTATGAGTATGTGTTAGCAAATAATTCAGTCTCAGTCATATAACAAATTCACGAAATAGATATACTAGCATATACAACATCAAAATATATATTCAAGAAATTGGGAAGATTATATTTACCTCATCAAAGAGA